TGTTCTTTTTGCTCAGCAGCGGTTTTCATCTTGGAACTCTGCCATGCAGACCATTTTTGCCCAGTCTCTTTCTTATGGTGGAGTTATGAACACTGACCTTAACTGAGGCAAGTGAGGCCTGCAGTTCTTTGGATGTTGTTGTGGGGTCTTTTGTGACCTCTTGGATGAGTCGTCGCTGTGCTCTTGGGGTAATTTTGGTCAGCCGGCCACTCCTGGGAAGGTTCTCCACTGTTCCATGTTTTTGCCATTTGTGAATAATGGCTCTCACTGTGGTTCGCTGGAGTCCCAAAGCTTTAGAAATGGCTTTATAACCTTTTCCAGACTGATAGATCTCAATTACTTTCTTTCTCATTTGTTTCTGAATTTCTTTGGATCTCGGCATGATGTCTAGCTTTTGAGGCTCTTTTGGTCTACTTCACTTTGTCAGGCAGGTCCTATTTAAGAGATTTCTTGATTGCGAACAGGTGTGGCAGTAATCAGGCCTGGGTGTGGCTAGAGAAATTGAACTCAGGTGTGATAAACCACAGTTTTAACAGGGGGGCAAACACTTCTTCATACAGGGCCATGTAGTTTTGGATTTTGTTTTCCCTTAATAATAAAAACCTTCATTTAAAAACTGCATGTTGTGTTTACTTGTGTTATCTTTTACTAATATTTAAATTTGTTTGATGATCTGAAACATTAAAATGTGACAAACATGCAAAAAAATAAGAAATCAGGAAGGGGGCCAACACTTTTTCACACCACTGTATATGCTGAGCTTCAGTTCAGTTTTGTGACATGCTAAATTTGTTCACAGAAAGGAAACTGTCATGGTTCACACACACGAGGAACACGGGAACGAAGGAGCGAGGAGACACGGAGTAAAGTAACTCAAAAGAGTTTATTAAACAAAGGCTGGGGTTCACAGGACTCGACACATCAGGAGGACAGGATGCCGTTTAATGACTGACAAAAGACAAGAACTAGAACACACTTTAAATACACAGGAGCTGATGAGGGGAAGACAAGGGACACCTGGAACTAATGACAATTAACATTGGAAACACCTGGGAACAATGAATTCAAAACACGAGACAGAGAAACTAGATGACGGAGCACATAGGGAGCAAAGACACACACAAAACCTGGCCCAGAGTCTGACATTACTCCCCCCTCCCAGAAGGCGTGTCCTCACGCCACCAAAACATCCAATGGGGAGGGGGGGTGGATGCTCTGGAGACCTCTAGGAGTAGGGTTACCAGACGGGAGGCCTCCAGAGCGGGGCACCATGGTGGATCTGTCAGCTCTGGGCGCCAAGGCAGAAGAGGGACTACAGGAGGACATGGCGGAGTAGGGAACACAGGAGGCCAAGGCGGAAGAGGGAACACAGGAGGCCATTGCGGCGTAGGGAACACAGGAGGACATGGTGGTGCAGGCAGTTCCGGAGGTCATAGCGGAGCAGCCTACGAGGCCGCGGCCTTAGCCCCGCCTCGGCCTCTATGGCTGGGGCCCTACTACCCCCCCCCCAAAAAATACTTGGGGGGGTTTCCAAGACCTAAGGCCCTCCGTGGGCCTGATTCGGGTACTGTGGCCCTCCCTGGGCTTGATTTGGGGACTGGAGCCCTCCTAGGGCTGGACGTGGGAACTGGAGCCCTCCTTGGGCTGAACGTGAGAACTGGAGCCCTTTCGGGCTGAACTGGGGATCGGGAGCCCTTCCTAGGCTCTGTGGGGGATCTGAAGCCCTTCCTGGGCGGAACTGGGGGTTGGGAGCCCTTCCTGGGCTGAACTGGGGATCGGGAGCCCTTCCTGGGCTATACTCGGGGCCTGGGCTGACACTGGAACGAACTCTGGGGCCACAGCCGACACCGTTCTCCTCACCCCTAGCATCCTCTTCTGGATCGGGGGGAACAGGCGTGGTCTGGGTCCACACTGGAGCGAACTCTGGGGCTGAAGCCAACACCCTTCTCCTCGCCCCTAGCATCCTCTTCTGGATTGGGGGGAAAAGGCGTGGTCGGCGAACTGGAGTGTTGAACGTCTGACGGGCTTGCCACATGAATGTCCGGTGGGCTTGCCATATGCATGGCCAGCGGGCTGGAGACAGCCCCGGCTGACAGGCCTCCCATCGGCCTGACCAGCGGGCTGGAGATAGCCCCGGCTGGCGGGCTTGACATAGGTACCGCCGGCGGGCTTGCCACATTAATGTCCGGTGGGCTTGCTATATGCGGGGCCGGCAAACTTGACTTGGCGCAGTTGGCAAGCTTAACATCTGGGCGGCCTGGTTCTGAGCATCCGGCGGGCTTGTCTTCAGCGAGGCCAGCGGGCTGGAGATAGCCACGGCTGACGGCCTTGACATCAGCCCGGTCAGCGGGCTGGAGAAAGCCCCGGCTGGCGCTTGACAATGGCGCGGCTGGCACGCTTCACAGAATGGCGGTCTTCGTACTGCGGAGACAAACAGGGGAGAAAAGGAAAATCAAAAGACTGTTCAAAAAACGAAAACAAAACACGGGTGAAGGAGCGCCGCTTACTGTTTTGGTCAGTCGTTCTGTCACGGTTCACACACACGAGGAACACGGGAACGAAGGAGCAAGGAGACATGGAGTAAAGTAACTCAAAAGGGTTTATTAAACAAAGGCTGGGGATCACAGGACTCGACACATCAGGAGGACAGGATGACGTTTAACGACTGACAAAGGACAAGAACTAGAACACACTTTAAATACACAGGAACTAGGGAGCAAAGACACACACAAAACCTGGCCCAGAGTCTGACAGAAACTCAAATGGCAGAAAGCGACATCCTATTTGTTTTCTTTATTTTACAAAAGCACAATGTTTTGTTTTCATTGTGAGTGTACACAAATAAAAGTAGACTTTATTATACTTTTATTAATAAGACAATAAATGAGTGTTTTAAGTTGATTCTGCTGGTATAAGGAAACAATTGAAGTGATCGCGCCGGCACACAAACACACACACAAAACATAGTTCCAGCATTGCTAACTTGACAGCGTAGTTGGTACTTTATCAAAATAAAATACAGTGAACCAAACTTCAGCGTGCCTGCCTCCGTGTCACTGTTGGAACGCGACCAGTGTTTCCCCTGCCATTATTTTAGGGGGCGGCCCGCCCCCCCAACGGCACCCCCCACCCCCCTTGAAGCACAGCGGAGTTCCGCTCGATGCGCGCACACACACACACACACGTGAGCCCACTCCCACTAGTATTTGTAAATATTAAGCCACAAATCAATTCATATTTAAATATGAATTCTGCGTGTCTCTGTTAATGAATGGCGCAGATGCGCAGTTTTGTGTAGTACTCGTACTGAAACGCTCGTGACGCTTCCGGTGATATTAACCTCTGCCGTTTCACTAATGAGGACATAAATACAAGAACAAATTCTCCAGAACTGCTCTGAGAGTCACTTCATCAGCATTTGACCATTTCATTTGAGTAAAACTATCATCATGTCATACACACACAGAAATGTAAAGGTATGCATGGCAACCCGTCAAGATAAAAGTTCGGTTTAAATTGAGGGCATTGGCAGAAATATATTACTATTGTTGAGTAGAATTTATGTAACAGGCTGCTACTACTACTACTACTAAAATTATTAAAACCTTATTTTTAAGGAATAAGCATACAATATTTTTTCAATGTTTTAATTGTAATTGTAATTTGTTTAATTTTCATTACTTAAAATATAGATTAAATGAATATCTTATGCCTTAAAAAAATTTAAATACACAATTTCTGAGCAAATAATCCTTACAAAACCCCCTCCAAAGCCGTAAAGGGGAAACACTGGCGACTGAATAACTAAGCCTATAATTTGCATAATAAATAATAGTTTAGGATTCAGATACATCGCAAATATGGAAATATTATGAAATATTTGGATTTGTGCCGAATGAGAGAGGTAGGATACACAAGCACAAAGCTC